TTAATGGATAATTTCCATGTAAAATTATTAACAAATTTCATTTTAATGGATAATTTCATTTTTGGCAATATTAACAAATTTCATAACCAATTGTAAAATTATTCTAAAGCCAAACGTGAACAAAAAAAATTCAAAATTTCAAAAATTATTATACCGGACTTACACCGAGGTATTGACGGTAATTTTCAAATCTCGCAGAACAGAATTTCGAGTGGAAAATTGTACCAATCAAACACAATTAATTAACAATTCCCTATAAAACAATTTCTAGACAATTACTTTCTCTGGAAATCATTTTCTTTTCACTCATTTTCCACCATTGCAATCAAACGCACCCTAAGTCTTTTTAATATTTGTTCTCTTATTTCTCTAGGTAGGTTTTTAATTACAATTAATGTTATTATTTTTAATCTATTAGGAATAGCCGAATAGGTTCTGAAAATATATAACATCCTCTATCCTCCTTTAATATATAATATTTATCTACATTTGTAATTATAATTTTCAAGATCTCTATGGCTCTGATACCAATTTGGGGGGATGTTACTATGAGCGAACAAAAATCAAAATAAATCTTAAAAATTAAAGGTTATCAAAAATCAAATAAATCTTAAAAATGTTAAAGGTTATCAAATGAATAAAGGTTTATAAAAATTATGAAGGTTTATAAAAATTACAGTGGAATTTCTAAGGGTTTCTTTGAAATCATCTATTTTATTATAATGGCTTGATTGAAATTTTTATGTCGGGGTATTTTAGGTAGTTCTATTTGTTTAAAAAAGTCAAAGGCTAGTTTGGAAATTTGACTTTTTATTTAGGTCATTTTCAGATATTTCCAGTTTCACTTTTAGTAGGATAATATGGATGGATTAATTTTTCTCCTCGCTACTATGGAGTTAATATTACTGATTTTTTCCTTCGATTCACGTCTCTGAATAGTTATAACTGTCATTTTGCTATCTGGTGCTTGACTGCTGGTAATGCAATCTGTCTAATGAACTTTTGTATTTACAACAGCGGCCAGGCTCCGAGTTGCTGCGAACGAGAAGGCTGAAGCAGAGAAGATATTGCAGATCAAGAAAGCTGAAGGTGAAGCTGAATCTAAATACTTGTCGGGGCTTGGAATTGCTCGTCAGCGCCAAGCCATTGTAGATGGTCTAAGGGACAGCGTTCTTGCCTTCTCAGAAAATGTGCCTGGAACAACAGCTAAGGATGTTATGGACATGGTTCTCGTTACACAATACTTTGATACCATGAAGGATATTGGAGCATCATCAAAGTCGTCCGCTGTGTTTATCCCACATGGACCTGGTGCTGTGAAAGATGTTGCTGCACAGATTCGGGAGGGTCTTCTACAGGCTGAAAGTGGTGGGCAGTAGAGGTTTTCCAGAGATCCATTGAATAACATATATTTTGATGGAGAAGCGTAGTGTGCATAACATATATTTTGATCATAAATAAAATTCTTCACAACACCATGTAATAGAAGGTTGTAGTGTTGACTAATTAGCTATTCGGGATTGCAATTTGACCTTATCTCATAAATAGTTTAATGGTTATTTTAGTACACTTGTAATGTATTAAATGTACCATGTGTCAAGTTTAATTCTAAGGTAGCACTTTTTTTTATCCTATTAGCCATAACTTTTGACATCAATTTATATAGGACATTACAAAGGATAATAGGATTGAGATCCTTAATTCTCTGTGGGTTCTTTGTCTTAGGGACGAGTGTAATAAAAGTGTGATTTACATTTGGGGAAAATTCACATGTATTTAAAGCATACAATACAACATTGGTAACAGAGGAGCCAATGTGAGGCCAAAATCTTTGAAAAAAGAGAGGGGGCATACCATCTGGTCCTGGAGCTTTAGTTGGGTGCATTTCCTTCAAGGCCTGAGAGACTTCATCTGCTGTAAAAGTTGTATTAATTCATTGTTCATATCGGGAGTTAATTTGCATTCTATTTTGTCCACGATGCACTCTGATTTCTGGATCCTTTAGAGGAAAATAGATCAGAGAAGTAGTTGAAGAAAAGGCGGTTACATACTTCTCCCTCTTGCTAGCAGTCTCGATCATCTAAGAGTTTAGTGTCAAGTTTGTATTTCTTCTTTGGGAAGCTTTAGCATGGAAATAACGTGTGTTATGGTCTCCCTCTTTAAGCCAAGCAGCTATGGACCTTTGTTTCCACATAAGTTCTTCTCTATACATCTAGGTTTGCACCTCTTCAGCAGATTGTCGAAGTTAATTAGGATCTATAGTTGCAGGGTCTTTCTCTTGGATTTGGAAGAGCTTTGATATGGCCTTTTTAAGCTTCACTTGCACTTTCTCAAATTTTTCTTTATTCCAGAACTGAAGTTGTTTACTGCAGAAACTTAGAGGCTGTTCTCTTTGTATTTCAGTTTTGTGTTTTGAGTTTTGAATTCGTTTTGTGTTTTGTGTTGAGTGTCTGTTTTGAAATTTCTGAAAATTCGTTCTATTTGTTATTCTGAAAAATTGTTTTTGAAAACATGAAAATGGAA